AGCACAAGGGAGTTATAAGGGACCAGAATCCTTAGAGATTCTTTCTGTGTTAGGGAATGGAGGCATAAGGGACTAGAATCCGTTGAGATTCTATCTATGTCAGGGAAGGGAGGCATAAGGGGTCAGAATTCGTTGAGATTCTGTCAGGGTCCGGGAATCTGATTTGTACAATTCTGTCTATTATGTACGTTTCTGTCTGTTCTGTACGATTCTGTTTATTCTATACGATTCGGTCTGTTCTGTAAAATCTGACTTGAATATTCTGTTATATGAAATGAATTTCGTTTGTGGTTTGATTTCTGTTTGATCAAGTATCTGTATTTTGTTCGCTTATACGATTTCTGAATGATTATCTGAATTCTATACGGCAACTATTCTGATGATTTTTTGTTGTGAGTTTCTGGAGATTTTGATTGGTTAGTGTAGTCTTGCTGAGCTGTTAGCTCATCCTTGTTATCTGCGTGATTTTCAGGTTCTGGAAAAGGGAAGGAAGTCTTGGACTAGCCGTTATGTGTCTGATCTAAGTTTATGTACTTTTGTACTTTTGATTTTTGTACAGTCATGGCTTTTCTGTTCTGTTCTTTCTGTCTGTAACCATGCACTGCATTGTATATGATTATTTTGATGAAAGAAGAAAATATAGATGAATTGTTCTGTATATTAGGATGTTTATAGTAGTTCTGTGTTTTCTGTATGTCTGAGATTTGGAAGAAGGTCTGAAGCAAATTCCAAAGCTAGATCCTGAATGTTTTCTTCGTCGCGACCCGACGCGATGGGATTCGTTCCGGTCGGGTTGGGTTGTGACACTACCTTTCTTAACACAATTCAAATCTAATACATCTACTTTCCTAACCGAGTCATCGGAATGCTATCGTTTTATGTGACCAAACCATCTAAGGCGACTCTCTTTAATCTTATCTTTCATTGGAGTCACTCCAACATTTTTACATATATGATCATTTCGTATCCTGCCTCTAAGAGTAAAGTCACTCATCCACCTGAGCATCCTCATGTTTGCAACACTTAACTTAATATTATGTTTTTTTTTAATGACCAAGATTCTGCACCATAAAGCATTGCAGGTCTTACCACCATCTTATAGAATTTCCCCTTAAGTTTAAGGGGGACTTTTCTATCACACAACAAGCCCAATACATTCCTCAACTTCAACCATACAACTTGAATTCTACTAATAATATCCCCATCTATTTCACCATCACTCTGAACAATAGACCCAAGATATCTAAAAGATGTACTCTTATTAATAACTTGATCACCAAAAGTCACAACCCTTTACTAGATCTATTACTACTAAAATTATACTGCATGTATTTAGTTTTAGATCTACTCAAACATAAACCTTTAGACTCTAAGGTTGACCTTCATAATTCATATTTGCCTTCAACTCTCTCTCTCTCTCTCTCTCTAATCTTATCAACAAGAAGAATATCATCAACAAGAAGCATACACCAGGGTACAACCTCTTGCAAATGTCTAGTGAGAACATCCATGACTAAAGCAGAAAGTTATGGACTTAAGGCTGCACCTTGATGTAAGCTAACTGAAATAGGCAAATACTTGGTCAAATCACCTTATGTTTGAACACAAGTAACAGCTCCAAACAAAATACATCAATCGATAACAATTAAAATCAACCAAAGCCCACATACATCCATTCCAGTTTTCTCCATATACATGAGAGGTGACAACTCATGGTGTCTTATTAGATTTCCTGAAAATTAGACATTAGTAGGTTTGGCCCTTTGGTATGCTCAAGATAACCAAATCATGGATCTTGATAAAATCTATCTCCATTCTCTAGCGGTTCTCCATTAATTCAATTAAACCTAAATATTAAGCCTAAGCCTTAGTAAAAATTGAGCCTAAGTAACCATCTTAATTGAGAGCATTTTCTTATTAGTGAGAGGTGTAATTAACTATGGGGCTTGTACCTATAGGAATTCTTAACCCCATATCTAAATAAACTTTGATCTAAATAATAGGGAATATCTTGCTAAAATAAACCTAATCTATCTTATAAAAAATGAACTCATGAGTTAAAGAATGGATTGTGTTTTTATAAGCTATCAATCTGCAGTAGTCTTGTTGGCATAGATTTTTCATATTTACAAGAGGATGGTAGACCTTCGCTTCTCTTGTGATGCTATTTTAACATTTGATTTAGTTGGTTAAGCTTCTTTTATAGATAAATAATCATTTTAAAGGGCTATTGCCCGAAGCATGTAACGATGTAGCTTGGCTGCTCATGAGTATGAATGGAGAGATTCTTGATATTGGTGAGGTTTCATACCATCATTTGGTTGGTTCAATGAGACTATGTTAGACCGGTCCAGTGAGTCCATACGAGACTGTCCCATGCGAATAGAGGCGGAAGTCTCGGCCTTCTGTATGTGACGATCAAGCCGCCCAGTTCAAAGGAAGTGATAAGGAAGCGTTTAGGAGAAGTTTAGGAGGGAAATTTGAATGTAGGGACTGTTTAGAGATTTCCTTTTGAATTGTATGCATTAAATAATTTGTTTTCCTAGGGTTAGGGCATCGTGAATTTGGTTTAAATTTGAGATCTCTTAGTTTCTTTGGGCTCTAGTAGTGTCTAGAGATTTGGGATTGATAGATCCTCCTCTCGAGTAGAGGATCAATTGTATCTTGGTATTTTTCATTCGTGTCTTTGATTATTGCAATAAAAACTAATGTTTTTTTTTCGTTTTCGTTGAGTTCGAAAGAGGTTTTCTCGCTTTTTTTTCTTAATTGATAGGAATTACTGTAAATCTTCAAGTGTTTCCTATCAAATTGGTATCAGAGCAGATTTTGGGACTGTTTTAAGGTTTTTCTGTGAAAACCAGCTACTGTTTTTAGCTAGAAGAGGGGCTATTTGTTGTTTTCAAGGGTCGAATTCCAATTTTATGAGTTTACAAAGATCCGAGTATTGATGGTGGCCAAGAAAGTGGATGAATTTGAAGAACGCCTTGAAGTGGAGATCGGACAAATGAAATCTGAAATTTCATATCTACAAAATTAAGTTTCATATTTAAAGAAAGACATTTCAACCATCCACGAGAAGATGGATGAGAATTTTTTTCAACCTGGGGGATATGTTGAAGAAAGTACTCAAGGGCCAAACCAAAATATAACCATCAGAGGGGAGGGAAGGCGCCGACAACCAGGGAGATGGGAAAAACCCTAAGCCAATCAGACAAAAAGGAGATAAGGAGGTGGAGACTTGAAGGCCGAAGAGAGAATACCTCTCCTAGAGCCTTTTCCTAAGGAGGAGCAAGGTAGGGGATATGAGGAGAGCCATGAGGAGGTAGGTGCAAGAACGAAGATGTGTTGATTTGGAGAGGAGAGGAACAAGATTGGAAAGGAAAAAGGGTAATTATGACCAAAGGGGGATTGAATTTGAAAGGGGAGGGGGCTTGTTATGATTCAAGGGGTGCTGCATTTGAGAGGAGAAGGTGAAAAATTAATGAAAGGTTGGGGTATGAACATAGAAGGGATGACTGGGACAGTTGGGGGGAACCACCCCTTGGGGAAGGGAAAATTATGAAGGGAATAGAGGGAACTAAGGCGATCTGAGGGTGAGGAAACTAAAAATGCCTATCTTTGAGGGAGAGGATGCACATGGGTGGATCTACAAGGTGGAAAGGTACTTACTGTCAATAGGTTGACAGACGAGGAGAAGCTGACGACAACCGAGATGTGCTTGGAAGGGAAAGCTTGAACATGGTATCAATGGAGGGATACGAGGCGACCAATAAGGACTTGGAGGGAGTTTGAGGACTGCTTGTTGGTAGGGGTGTCAATTTCGGGTCACGGTCTGGTTCGGGTTGAACCCGGAACTAACACGGCACTATTTGGGTCAACCCGAACCCGATCCATTTCTGCAAACGAGTCAATTTTTCAGACTCGAACCCGATGCGCTTCAAGTTCGGGTCAATCCGATCTGACCCGCCAAGAGCCAGCCCTGTGTGGTTGTGCGTGAGTTCGCGGTTCATCCTCGATGGAGGCATTGCAGACTAGACCGGAGGCTTGCTGTCAGTGACGGTGAACGGAGTGGTCACTAGCAGAGGCGGGAGGCCGGACGGCCTGGACCGATGCACGGGAATGACGGAGCGGAGGATGGAGGATCGGAGGTCGTCCGGTTTGCGCTGCCAAATGACACCGACGGGCCTGAGATGGAAATGACTGAACGGACTGAGCAGACAGACGACGCAAGTCACGCAATTGACTGACTAAGCGGGACGGACGACAGACGACGCAACACAACTAAGCGGGAAATCCGAAATTCGGGTCAAACCGGGTTATTTTCGGGTTTTCTGGTCAACACGAATCCGACCCGCTTTTACAAACAGGTCGAAATCCCAAACTCGAAGCCGACCCGGTTCGGGTTTGGGTCATCCCAAATTCGGGTCAACACGAATCCGACCCGCTTTAACACAAGATTGTTCAGTGATAGAGTACCACGAGAGATTAGAGCACCTTGCTGTCGTGGAGAAGTGACATTCAATATCAACTGTGCCTAATTGATATTGGGCCCAAGATTCTTTGAATATGTAGAATAAGATTCCCTTCTCAAGTCAATCTTCACACGAAAGGACAAGAATGTTATAACTTTTCTGAAAATATGAACCAACCTATTAGTTGTTCTTTTGTAGTGTCGAGGAGGAATTGAAGTGATTAGTAGCTTATTTTAGAGTGGGAGTTGTCTATTCTCATAATGGAGAAACAATCATTATCCTCTTTGGTTTCAAGAAGGGAACTAAATCAGAGTTTAGGTCCTCTTAAGTTGGTTCTTTGATGTTGAGCATTTGTGAGCATTCTTTGAAACAGGAGGATGACCATTTGTCGTTGTTGTATGACTCCTAATTTAGCATTAATGGCTACCGATTAGTCTATTTGTCGTTTATTCTCTAGTCGTATTTTTCATAATATAGTTAATTGATTGTTGTGTTAGAATTAACATATCAAATTTTGTACGTTTACAGATTTCACTGAATAGCCACAAGCCAATAGAATTCATTTCTCTGTTCAAAACAGCTGCAAGCACGCAGAAATCCCTATAGCAGGATCGGCACAGTTCCGCAAGGGAGGAATTTTACATAATTTTTTTGTAGCCAGTTCCTACACTAACTGCGGCACTGTAGCACAGTGAATTCCTGTGCGGTGTAGTTTGGTAGCCGAGTTATCACAATGGGATTTTCTTTGAAGATTAGAGGAATATTCGGCACATTCCAAGTGACAAAGGCTGAAGGTAATTTTGAGAAACTATAGCAAGATATGAATTTAATTATTGACTTCATGTAATGAATTGGTTTGATGTGAGTGTGCAATTTAATTAAAGAATCAGTGATTTTGTGTGGTATCTTGGAGCAATGGAAAGAAAGAGTGGAAAAAAAGAATAATAGAAAGGAGATGAAAGAGGATTCTTTGGATATATGCATAGAGAAAGTTTCGAGGTAAATGATTATATGTATTAATTAGTTATATACAATTTATTTGAGTAATAAATTTAGCACTTAAAAGAATTAGATGGATAACTTGTAGGTAACTTATAATCGCAGAAGAGTGCGAAGTAGAGAATTGGAGTAGACGACTCGGCAATGAGGTAAGTAATGCAATTTTTTAATTAAAGAGTATATGTTATGATTGTAGACATGTACACTAATTTTGAATGTCAATTTGAAAAGATAGTCATTAAAGTAGATGACTTTACATTATGCATGTTAACAATCTAGTATTCATGTATGAGCAACCACGTACGAATTTGAATGAATCAAATTTATAATAAAATGCAATATAAATGTTTACAGATTTTCCCAGTTGAGAACATTTTGAAAAGAATTACTATTTTGTATATAATACATACTCATTCTTTTGATATAAACATTAAAACAAATATGATGTTATGAAAGTCAGCAATCGTATAATACAAATATGAACTATAAATATGTGAAGTGTATTGAATATCAATTTAAAGTAAAGATTGACTATAAATGATGTATAACTTACTTCTCATGTATGTGACTACATTGTAAGTGGGGCAATAAAGACCCCTAAAGAGGCAAAACAGACTTCTATGTAATTCAATGACGATAATGTCAAGTTTATCGTGTTTCCATTGAATATTTTTATGAAATTGTAGCCAAATCTTTAATAACTGAAATTGATAGTCAATATAGATTTTAAGTAAAGTAAATGTTAATACCAAATATCATTGTATGATGTTTTCTTAAGTTTATTTATCTTATGATTTCAATGTGATAATTTTTAATCATACAATATAACTGTTATTTAATTTGCATAATTTATTAAGCCTTATATCTCACCAGTTATTTCATACAGACCGTTGTTATAGGAAAAGGAAGGAAAAGGTCAAGGCAAACTAAATTGCAAGTGTTTCAATTTTATATGTTATTATTTAATTATGTTTGTAAGTCTACTGTTGAGGTATATAGACAGTTCAATGATAAAATTTCTCTTTGTCAATTTCATTCGTTAGAACAGCTTCCATTGAGTCTCTGCACCTATCCCTTTTTATTCTCATTTTCCATCATTTTTTCTCTCAAAAAAAAGATTTGGCTCAGGATTGCCCATTTTTAGTTCCAGGGTTTCTCTGAATTTGGAAGTTACCACTTAGCAGGTTTCCATACCAAGGCTCAATCCAATCAAGTCCGTAGCGTCTACCAATTTCGCCATATCCCCCTTTCCTTTGAAACAAGAATCCAGTTGTAATTCCATCCACCTCTTTCATTTATCTTGGCACTATTGAATTCATTAGGTAATGATTGAAATATAGAAAAAGTGTATGCTGCTATTTTATTTTTTTGCCCACCCTCTATTCTATCATTTCATCTCTATTGGATGAACCCTATTTGTTTCAATACGAAATGATTCTATCATTGATGTATCCGCAATTCAATACGGATAGATATATCCCACATATATATATATGCCTTTACTCCTCCTTCATTTTTACAGTAATCTTTGGTATAGTGTAACGGTCGATATTCATTCTTTTTTTTTTCATTTCTCATTCTAATTTGATTGATATATTGAGATTTTCTTTGAATATATTCATCTAAGAAATAGAAGAAATTGAAAGAATCAAGAAATGAAAGAAAAAAAAAAAGAAAGCGGTAATAAGTTCTAATGAATCAATTCATTCATGTCAAATCCCTTCATGATGCATTTTGACAATTTTTACTAAGCGAGGGATCCAATGGTATAGTTCATTTGTTGGTAGTTTGGAGGATTACAAACATGACTATTGCTTTCCAATTAGCTGTTTTTGCATTAATTGCAACTTCATTAATCTTACTGATTAGTGTACCCGTTGTATTTGCTTCTTCTGATGGTTGGTCAAGTAACAAAAATGTTGTATTTTCTGGTACATCATTATGGATTGGATTAGTCTTTCTGGTAGCTATCCTGAATTCTCTCATCTCTTGAACTTCTTTGGTATTTTCCCGATCCAAACAATCCTTCTAAGAAATTCAAATTGTGAGACACACTAAGATTCCATCTGAGTTCCGAAAAAAAATAACATTTCATTGTTATGAATTGGATATAGATAATTAAGAATCTGATCTTAATTGGAATCTTACTTTACTTACTATAGTCTTTGTATCTGGCCCTGCGCAAATATGATCCAGACGCATATATGATATATCATATATGTGTGGACATATGCGTACGTATCAGAAACGAAGAAAATGCGGATATGGTCGAATGGTAAAATTTCTCTTTGCCAAGGAGAAGATGCGGGTTCGATTCCCGCTATCCGCCCATGGTGAAGTAATGTACTATAAAAAGATTCGGTCGGTATAGTAGCTGGATTCTTTAGTGGCTTTATGAGTATTTTTTTTAATATAACTTTAAGTTATTAGATGCTTCTGTTGATGCAGTGAAAATATTAGTGCTTATTTTATATCACTTTTCAAATAAATGAAAAGTATTAGATTTTTTATGATGAAAATGTTATATTTATACTTGTTACACTCTATAGTATTATTAAGGGGTACTGTGGAGTGTTATAAAAGTAGTATCAGAGCAAAAAATTAAGGTTATAATGATTTAATTATGGAAACATAAGCAAATTAAGTTGTTTAAGAGAATAAGATTAGAGTTGATGGAATTATTACAAAGCCTAGTAGAGTATTGTTTTTAAGTTAGTAATAAGTCTAACTTCGATCTTGCTTGTATGTAAGCATATGAAAATAACATCTAATTATATAAGTGCGTTCATGATTATATAAATGCATAACTCTTAATGTAATGTATTGCATATTTAATGACTGAAAGGATGCCTGAAGGGATTGAGGGTCAGTCATTTTAGCCTATTAGGATCTCTAAGGGTCCTAAAAATGTGGCAACAATAGGAGGCAGCACACATAGAGTAGACCATGCACCAGTAGGATTTGATAATAATACTAATGTAATGGCATTGAACTTAATGCAAATGCAAATGATAAACATGATGATGCAGATGATGAAAAAGATGCAGTCTATGGTGGGGTGGGATCTACAGCACCTAGTGTTCCACATTTAATTACACCAGTCAATCCAACTCTTGGTAGTAATAATAATGCAAAGACAAGTGATATGGTTAGTACAGAAGTGGATAAGTATTTAAAGTTTTTCCAGAGTTTAAAACCTCCATTATTTAAAAGAGGAGTTGATGCCAGAAGTGCTGAAGACTGGATTATCATGATAGAAAAAAAAATTAATGGAATGAGATGTCCCGAGAACCAACGAGTATCCCTGGCAATCTTTATGTTATAAGGTAAAGCTGAAAGGTGGTGGAGGCCAGGGGACAATATTTGGAAAAATTCAAAGGTAGATCAGAACATCAAATTACTTGGGAGGAATTTGAATAAGTCTTCAGAGAGTGATATATTCTTACATCATCAAAACAGGCAATCCAGAAAGCCTTGCAAACCTAAAGTAGGGAGCAAAGGCTGATATTCAATATGAAGCATAATTTACATCTCTATCAAGGTATGCTCCTTAGCTTATCAGCAATCCAACTGAAAACTGTTATAGATTTTTGAAAGTATGAGGAATTCATTGATACAACCATTAATTCCTCTTCGCATAAAAGATTTTGCTGAATTAGTGGAAGGTGCCCGACTATTGGGAAATGATATAGAAGTGGTCAAACAAAAATGGAAGAATGATGGTAGAAAGTGATAAGGTGATGACATGGGGATAATAAAAAAAGGCAGAAATTTCACTATAGTCAACAACAGTCGTCTATGAGATAACCTGCAATACTAGTTTGTTCAAATTGTGGAAAATCTCATCCAGGAAAATTTCTAATGAATCCAGGAAAATGTTATATATGTGGAAAATCAGGACATATCAAGAGGTTGTCCGAAGAATGTTCAAGGTGGTAGAGAATTTAAAGGAAGTTATAGGACATATCAGTATAGAGGTGTCAGGCTACAGATGAATTAACCAGCTTTGAAGATGAAAGGTGAAGCTTCAGGTGAAGCTATTAGATCAGCACTAGGTCGAATATTTGCCATAACTTCTCAATAGGCTAAGAAATCTTCTGAGGTGATAACATGCACTTTAAACATCTCAGATTTACCTGCTAGAATTCTTTTTTATTCTGGTGCGTCTCATTCTTTTATATATGAGATATTTTATAATAAATTGCATGTGAAACCTATTATTTTTACTCCTAAGTTGAGTGTTAGATTACATGCGTGTAATTATCTAAATGCCAAAACATAATGTTCAATTAATTTTATGATAGATGGTAGAAAGTTTCATGCAAACTTGATATCTTCAATTGATAGAGTTTAAAGTAATTTTTGGGATGAATTGGTAGGTAAAAAATTTTGCCGCCATTGAATTTGGAAGAAAAAGTGGATTGGCCTAGAGAAGAGGTATTTTTTCAATGAGAAAGGGGAGTCATTTCTTCATTGATTATTTCTAGTCAGGTGCATAAAAGTTTATGAGCAGGAGAATTAATTTTCTTATCTAAGTTAGAAGCAACTAATAAAAGGGGTGGTGATATAAATTCTATTCCTATAGCGAATAAATTTGTAGATTTTTTTTCTGAGGAATGGAATAATTTACCTCCAAAAAGATAGGTTGAATTTTTAATTGCAAAACTACCTTACAAAATGGCAACAAAAGAATTGCAAGAATTGAAAAAATAGTTGGCTGAATTGATTGAAAAAGATTTCATCCAACCCAGTGCATCTTCTTGGAGTGCACCAGTATTATTTGTCTAGGGGTGTCAATTCGGGTCAACCCGTCGGGTTCGGGTCGAACCCGACCCGACCCGGATCTAAACGGGTCAACCCGAACCCGACCCGTTTTTGCAAACGGGTCAGACATTACCCGTTTTTTCAAACGGGTCAGATCTGCGAACCTGAACCCGACCCGTTTATCAAACGGGTCGGGTCCAACCCGGATTTTCCGGGTCGGGTCCGGGTCGGGTTGTCAGGTCGGGTCAAAAGTTGACACCCCTATATTTGTCAAGAAAAAAGATAGTTCAATGCGACTATGTATTGATTATAGAAAATTAAATAAGGTGACATTTAAAAACAAATATCTTCTTTCAAGAATTGATGATCTATTTGATCAATTAGCAGTTGCTTCTGTCTTCTCTAGAATCAATTTGAGATTAGATTACCATCAAGTTAGAGTGAAAAAAAATGTGATGTTGAGAAGATCGCTTTTGGTATCATATATGGGCATTATAAATTTTTGACCACATCATTCTGTTTAATCAATGCCCCAACAATATTCATGGATATGATGAATATGATTTTCAAATATTTACTTGATAAATTCGTAATTTTGTTTATTGATGACATTTTGATCTATTCCAAGAATAATGAAGATCATGCAAATCATCTGAAAATTATGTTGGAATTATTGAGGCAACATAAACTGATTGTTAAATATTATAAATGTGAATTCTTGCTGAAGAAAATTTCATTCTTGGGGCACATTATCAATGGAGAAGGAATATTAATGGATCCAGGAAAAAATAAAGCAGTAGTGAAATGGCCATGACTAACTAACGTGATAGAGGTCAAAAGTTTTTTGGAATTAGTAGAATATTTCAAAAGATTTGTTGAAGGCTTTTCTTAGATTGCTTTGCCATTTCACTAGAAAGTAGATCTAAAAATACTTGGTTAGAAAATATTAGAAATGACATTTATTTATTAGATTTAAATGAGAATTTGACTCTTAATATTAAATAATAAAAAAGGATTCATTTAGCCGACCTCAAAAGACTTGGTTAGAAAATATTAGGAATGACTTTTCTTTATTAGATTTAAACGAGAATTTGACTTTTAATAGGACACAATGGAGAAAAAGGATTCATGTAGCCGACCCCATGTAGTGGGATAAAGGCTTGATGTTGTTGTTGTTGTTGTATTTAGCCGACCTCACATAGTGGGATAAAGGCTTGATGTTGTTGTTGTTATATCAATATAATTTTAATTTAAAATATACATGCTAAATAAACTACATGCATATAGAAAAATAAATAAATTTAATTTAAAATATTAATACAACTAATAAAATTAATTTACATAAGAATATCCAAATAATTATAAATTAAAACTTTCATTCAACTAATTTAATAATTTAAATAAAAATTTTAAAATATTTTTAATTTGAAACCGACATAAAATTAATCATATAAATTATATATAAATAAAAACATAATTTTACTAACATAAATCTAAAATATGGTTTTAAGAATTAAAAAGCAAGATCTAATAATAAAAATATAGATTTAGTTATAAAAGTTTGGATTAAAAAAATTACAAATAAACATAATTAATGATATAGAAATAATAAGTCCAACATAGCTCTAAGAATAAAATTGTAAATCAACTCATTCTCTCTCTCTTGCATTTTTTTTAATTCTCTCTCCTGCCTCCCCTCGTCTCTTTGGCGATTCTAGGGTTTCCTTTTTTTCCCTGCTCCCGGTAACATCTTCTACTCTTTCTCTCAGATTCTCGGATCCCTGTGTGTGGATTTGTGAGACCCTTGGTGGTTGGGGCCTTCTTTTTGGCCCGTGGATCCATGATGGCACCTCCTACGTCGAATTGTTGGGGTACTTCATTAGCGATTGTCTCTGTTAAGAAGCAAGGGGTTTTTTTTTTTTTTTTGAATGGGGAAGGTAAAAATATGCCATCTTGATCATTTAAAGATGTGGTTTCTAGTAGTTCTTCATCTGATGCTCGTGCATTTTCATTTACTCCTTCGTTTTTTAAAGGTGTGCTAGCTATTTTGATCTCGAGTGAAGATGTTATTAAACTTGCCTCTCCTTTCAAGTTTACTTTAGTAGGAAAGTTTTCCATGTGTAGGCCGAATATGGATGTTATTTGTGTTTTTTTTTCGGAATTCTTAATCTCTTGGTTTATTTTTTGTTGGTATGCTGGATGTGCGTCATGTGGCTATTCAACTAGCTAATGATTTGTACTATAGTCTGGTTTTCGATAGGTGGACTTACTACATTAATAATTGCCAAATGTGTCTCCTTAAATGGACACCGTTTTTTGACATAAGGAAGAAACTCCTATTGTCCATATCTAGATTTCCTTCCCTAATTTGCATTTACATTTTTTTCAACTATCGGGTTTACATGCTCTGGGTTCCATTTTTGGTAGGCCGCTTCAAACGAACCAAATAACTGCCTCAAGGACAAGGCCTTTTGTGGCTCGAATTCTTGTTGAAGTGGATATCACAACACAGACCATCAAGATTTGCTTAATTTGATCTCAATTGTCTATATTGATAATATATGAGAGAGAGAATATGATCCACTGAAAATATAGAAGCTACAAACATGATGAATAAAAGAAGAACACTCATCAACCCTTCTTAAATCTCATCTACAACTAAGCTTGGCAAAACAAGTCTCTCGCATACAAGTTGATTACCACTCATCAAGGTACCTACCACCAAGATGAAAGTCAGCCAAAACCTTCGATGATACGACTAGTCAATATTGTATCCTACAATTTCTATCAATATAGAGAAATCAAACATTTGTGGTCTGTCTTGTTTCTCCTTTCAGCATGAATCCTCAAGTCGGGATGATATTTCACAAAAGTCTGCTAGCATACATTACAATCCCCAACTAAGAGATGCTCTCATAATCAATGTAACCCAAGCAATCTTAAAGGGTATTATCACACGGATCCATGATGTGGTGCCTAATTTTATGTCATCCAAGAAGGTATTTTATGTCATCAAAATGCAAACATTTTCCTCTTCCTATTTAATTTCTTTTAATCTTGAACTACCTACTCTAAACATTCCTATCACCTTCAAAGGATTGGACACTTCCAAATTATCCAACATTAAACTTGCACCAATAAAAATTTGTAATGACTTTGCTTATTATACTTCTTGGAATGACCTAAATTTTCTCACGGTCTTATGGATAGTTGCCAGCAGGCAACTTAATAACTGAGAGGATATCGGCCTAGCAGGAGGATACTTTGGAAGTATTACCATATGACTTCTTAAAGATGGCCGCAAAAATAAATAAATAAATAATCAGTTGGGATGTCCCAAGTTAAACTCATATGAAGAGATTATTTTTATTGGATGTGCATTAGCTAGGTTTGGTGCTATATTTTTAAAATCCACCCCGAAGTAAAATATCCAATGGAAAAATAAAATCCCTCGCATGAGTTTGAGCATCCCGAGGAAATTATTTTTCCTAAAAGAGCTATACTACAGATGCAAGCCGCTATTCCTTGGGATATTCATCGAAAATTTATTCATAGCATATAATACCCAACCTGGTAATCCGTATAGATCAAATGGCAAATTGCTAAAACAACTTAAAGAGACCATTGCATCCAAAAAGGCGATCAATTTGATCAGAAGCAATAGCCCTGAAGTGGGACCGAAGAGGACTATCGGGCACGTGAGTGCTTCCCCTATTCGGCTATTCCATCTTAGCATTTCAATATTTTGTACCAAATTTTTTATTCAAATCACATCATTTTATAAATATAGTATTTTAATATTTTTAGCATACCATCTCGAAAAAGTTAAAAAAAATAATAATAACAAAATCTCAAAAAAGTTGCGCTGCTCTGGCCTTACTAAACCCTGAAATTCAATCTCATGAGCACGCTAAACACTATATCCCGTTTTTCTAACCAAGTAATATATATTGGAACTGTTCATGACATCTTTGAAATGACAACCTCGCATGAAATTGTTAAGGTTTCTCCCGTAAACATAATCCTTCCCAAATCACACCTAAAACACGTGACCATGAACCATGTAAACTAAATAAAAAAACCCACTAACTCAATCCAATGAGTACGATCGAGAAAGGCAATGCTTCTCTATCAATATTCGATGATAAGACATTCCAGATGACCAGACGCGGAGCGAATAGAAACCTAGACATCGATTAAAAAAGCGTCATCAACCTTTGACCCGAAGACTCGTGGAATAAATCTGTACGCGCAACACCACCACCTCTAGCATATATACATATAACGCATAATTCGTAATTTCACGAAGTAGTTCAGTATCAGGAATAGCAATCCACAGTATCACAAGTCAAAAATAGTAATTAAACTAAACAATTAAAAAGCTCCAGCTTAAAAAAAGCAACAAATAAATGAACGACATCGATCGATCCTTCTTCCTTTAATTACTTACTTTTCTCCGCCAATCAAAGTCGCGCAAATCAAAACCACCATGCCAACAGATGATCAATCAAAAGGAACGCAATATAAAACTATCACCAAATCACAAGTATATATATATTACCCAAATCAAACAGCAGAAGTAGGAATTATTTCATATATATATATATATAGCGACTAGCGAGCGAGAGAGAGAGAGTGAGGGAGAGAGATGTATTGGCGAGGTACCAGGAATCAGTGGAGTACTCATAGAGCTTTCCCTTCGTGGAGAAGATGATAAGCGCCACCTCGGCGTCGCAAAGGATAGAGATCTCGTGCGCCTTCTTGAGCAACCCCGACCGCCTCTTCGAGAACGTTACCTGCCTATTTATCTTGTTCTCGATCCGTTTCAGCTGAACTCGCCCCCTCCCCATCTCCTCCGCCCTCCCCAAACCCTAATCCCCGCTCATATAACGAAGAGGAAGATCACAGGCGAACTGCGATGGAAATGTGGTTGAGATGTTAGACACGAAGAGGAATACAAATATGAATATATAAAGCCGAGATCGAGCTGGTGGGTGGTTTCGTAAAACCAGAGTGGTTTAATGCAATGCGTTGTTGATTTTTCGTTGGCTTGCACGATATGGCCCACCTTCTGTCTAATCGTTATTGGGCTCGGCCTCATCCGTACAAAGCACGGGAAATAGCCGGACGTTTCATCAGTAGCCACGACCATCTCCTAATTTATTATCCTCATAAATGGTACGTATTACGGATTTTGCCACTTTTCCGCTGTTTATTGCTGCTGGCCGATGGGCATAATGGTCAATTCGAAGAAGGGTAAGTTGGTAAACGGGTCACCCCACCGGCTTTAGCCGGTCGCGAAACGGGCGCGTGCCAGTGTCCCACAAACAGGAACTCGGTATGTTTCCTAATTTGGCGATACGAGGCCGAAAATTTTTGACTAAAAAATTAGAAAAAAAAAAAAACCGAATAAAGTAAAGCAGCAAGTGGAAGTCGAACGTGGCTGGCAGTGCTTTTCCTAAAATGTACATACTTGAGATGCGAAACTTTCCGGAAATATCATGGCTATGAATTAATAAATGAGGATAGTTTTGTCATTTTCTAAATAAATTCACTCGCCTGGACCAGGAATCTACTTGGCTTGATTTTTATGGCGATTTTGCTCATTCATGCCTAACATTTCTTTTATTTCAGATAAAGCTAAGTGTTAATATTTTTGAAATTCAATATTCAAACATTCAGCTGTCAATTTTTTTTTTTTAATATAATTAGCTGTCTATTTCAATTTTACCTTATTTTCTAATTTAATTGTATGCTAAATATATTTTTTTATTTCTACAATATAATTTTCAATTCATTAATCATATTAGTATCCATTTTTTAAATATAATAATAATAAATACATTATAATTAAATTTTGTTATGAGTCAAAACATTCACGTTGGTAGAGATTATAGATATTTCATATGTGACTATTTCTTTTATTACTTTCTAAAACAAATTTTTAGTATAAAAATTTTCTGAAAGCAATAAAAAATAGTTGACAAAAGTTGTCTCAAAGGAAGACTAACATACTCTTATATTTAACACTATTAACTTTAATATTGAATGGTAGGAATAAAAATATCTCATTTTAAAATTTAGAGGGATCAAATTAGTTTCTCAAATGAGTTTGGGATTATTTTAATCCCTTCCAAAGAGTTGAGGGATCATTTTAATTATTTTCTCTCATTTGCAATAAGTTTTGCATTAATATATCTCTTTTATGATTTATTATCTATTACTCGTTTCAAAGAATTTAAAATCCTTATTTTATATAAAGTTCAACACAAATATAAATAAAGAAAAAAAATTAAAAATTATAAAAGATATCAAAATAATATTATAAGTAAATTTAAATCAAAATATCTAAATCCAAAATTTCTCTATGCACAAATATATTGGATCAGCTAAATTTTCTGTCAAAATCTTCTTTGTTTCCCACATATTATTAATGTTTTTTTATATATTATAGTCACATCACCTTCCTCTATTCATTCATTTAAATTAAAGGATTTGTTCATGCATAACACTTAAAATTATTAAAAATACATATTTATCATCCAACCTATTATATTTAATGATATACCACCTAAATCTCCCATTTTCCTCAATTCTACCACTTCTTTTAAAGCTCGTCAAAAATCCCGCCTCGCAAGCAATTATGGGAAATAATCCAAGCAACACTGAATTTTCCTTTAACATTTCTCGAAACTCGTCATCTATACTTCTTCCCATAATCGGCAATCTCCTGAATAATTCCTTCTCCTCCTGCGCTGCACCATAATTATTTTGCTCAAATTTACTGGCGATGGGGATGTTGTTTTGATGCTTGAAAGAAGGAAATATGCTTCTTCATCGATCACATATCGGAACGATTGAACCATCTTAACACATAATAGGTGGACGACACAAATCCTTTTCATTTAGCGCTTGTGCTCGCCATAACGAGTGAAGGCGTTGTCACGACAGTTGTAAAAGAGGCGGTGAGCTATGCTTGAAGGTGGTCGGGTTGAGACGTGAGGTATTGGATCTTCATCACTTATTCCGCTAAGTCGGCCGAGGAGATGACGATGACGAGGATTGATCCGAGGTAAAGGAGAAGGATGGGACCATATATACTTTTTAGAGAGAGAGTCGAAGGAGCAGTGAAGGTAAGGGCCGAGTTGGTGGAGATTGTTGATTATGGGCAGCACAGCCTAGGAGAAGGAAGGAGATTTATGATTTTCTTTAGATGAAGATCTGAAAAAAAATTTGAGGGCGGGGGAGGAGGAAGTAAGCGGTGGGGGGAAAAGGGTGAGGATGTGATCAAGGAGATGTTCTGGTTGTTGGCTCCAGATTGTCGGAGACATCTCCATGGCCACCGTTGCTCTTGTTATACCGACCAACGTCCCCATCTTCCTAAATTGCATGAGACCGGGAAGACAGACACGTAGGAAATCGACAAAGAAGGCGACGATTTTGGACGGAGAAGATGTTCCTTCGCACGAACATAGTGGTAGAATTGAGGAAAATGGGGGATTTAGATGGTATAACAATAAATACAATAGTTTAGATGTTAAATATGTATTTTCAATAGTTTCAAGTGTTATGTATGTAAAAATTCCTAAATTAAATTTCTTACCATTTATCTTCTTTCAATCTCTTAGTTCAATGAAGACTTATGTGACTCATTATCACTAATTCTCATGACTTGCATGTTAGAACTGCCAATATACAAAATTTTATCATATTAATTTTAAATGATGATACACTTGTTAAAATTTAATTAAGCTATTGTAGTTGTAGTGGTAATTCGACATCATGTAGTTAACAAAGCCTATCAACATGGCTCCCTTATAGATGATCAAGTAAATTCAACCAACTAATTTTATCAATTGAGAATTATGAGTAGTTTATTGATGCTTTTATAATCCTTCTGGATGTGATTTTCATATTGTTGTGCACAATGATCTTTGCCTATATGATTAAAATATCAACCATTATTTGTTATTAACAGAAGTTGCATGCTTTTTCGTTATTTAGGGATGCTTACATGTTGAAGCTTCATTATTAGAGGCTAAGGTATGGGGTTTTGGTGGGAGCTCAGGAAAATAACAGCATGATACATTTAAGAAAAGAGAACATGTGTTCACATAACAAACGTGTAAGGTCAGTTTATTACATTTATATTGCTTAAACATATATTTTATTTAATCATATTGTAGCATAAAATTGTTGTTGATGATAAATTGTAATTTACTCTCTCAAATTGTGCATATTGACTTGAAAACTTTTGGTTGTTGGAAAGATTTTCCTGAGAAAATGATGATCGACATCATATCCTTCTCATTCTCCTCGGTATATAGTTGATACTGTTCTCTCTTTCGATCACATTCACAGAGGAATAATTATTACGTCCTCCGACCGAATGCAGAGAAACATTCGGTCGCAGGCAAAAAAGCCACGGTACCGAGGTGTACCGAAAAACTCGGTACTCGGTACACCTCGGTACCGCGGCTTTTTTGCCTCCGACCGAATGTTTATCTCATTCGGTCGACCGAACCAAATAAAACTTCTTCACATAGAGGGTAATTATTCCCTCACTTCCTACCAAAGAGGCAGTTCTTGATTTCATCCCCAAAGTCAATGACACTGCTTCTGTGCTGTTTATTGGAACACAAATCAATCATTATATACCGGTTCCTCTTATCTCATTGATTTGCTTCCATAACCTATTTTTTCTAGCAGAGAATGTGATAAATAGCAACTTTCACGTTTCTCTAACTAAAACATACATCAAACAGCATGTTTGTATGATTGTAGGTTATGAGTATCTCAGAGTATGAATATACGTTTGTTATTTTGTATTTGACTATCTACAATGAAATAAAAAGATAATTCAAGGAGGTGAAGGATGATCTGTATTTTGATAGATTATAACTATGATTCTTCTGTGTTTTGGATAGTTTGTATTGGACTGAGATTTTTTTGATCTTTTTTCAATAAATTGCTACAACTAATTCAAAAAAGACATTCTCTTTGCTGATAATGCTTTAATTATATTTTTAGAGTTCTTATTGACCTCGAGAATGCGATGAGTTCTATCAAACATTGTTTTTATCTACTCCGACCGCTATCGTAAGCCGACTACGGTCCACTCAGACAACTATCGCCTCCCTCTAAGGAAGGACCTCATTTATAATTAACCATCAATATTGGTGAATTAATTTAAACTGGGTTATGCATATGATTTTTCTCCACTTTCAGGATTTTCCACGTAAAAAACTCAATATCTCTTATGAAGGCTACATCCTATCTTTTATCTTTTTGTGTGATGGATCTTCATACAAAATTATGAAGCTAAACTTTATCTCTCTCTATCACTGCGAATGTTCCATGATGCAACACTATTCAAGATTTAAGGTGCTTAACTCATATTATATTTGTATTTTAAATATGAGTTATTTATTAATTAATATTAATAAATTATAATTATTGTTGCGTGCTAAAATATACGCGGCGGTAGAGTTTGTAAATTTTCGTCCTAGCGTTGTACGAGTATTCAGCACATAAGCAGAAAAGAGAAGTGAACACCAAGGTTTTTACGTGGAAAACCCGAAAGAGGGAAAAAACCACGGGGCCTCGCCCAGTTGCAAAGTTCCATTAGTATTTGTTTGAAGTACAAAGGTTGATCCGTCTTACAAATCAAGACGATCAATTCACAATCAATTTCTCACAAAGTTACAAAGTTCTACAAATTTCCGGCGTTTCCCGAAAATCCGGCAGAGTTCCGACGTCTTGAGGCGGCAGGAAGAGCTCCGGCGGTGGTCGAGGAGGAGCTTATTCCTTCTCCTCCTTCTCTTCTTTTTCTCTCTCTTTACTTGAGTCCCCTTTGTGTAGAATGAGGGCTATATTTATAGTTTTTCTGGAGTGGCATAGCTCGTAAATAGGTGTGAGATCATGGGCGAATAGGAAGTGGTTTGAATGGACGGCCGATATCCTTCGATCGTGCACCGTTTGTTGAACATTTGGAGGCCTTAGTGATGTCGTAATTCGGAGATCTTGGGCTTGTTGGATTCCTCTCGTCGATCAGCTCGATTCGAGTATAGGCTCGTTAAAATCGGAGACTGTTTGGTAACTCAAATTGCGGTTTGAACCTTCTAACAGTGCTTCGGGTCCTTGATTCAGACTCATTTGGACTCGGATTGAGTTGAATTTGGTGTCGTTGGGTTCGTATTTCCGAGATGCTCAATTTGACTATAAGCTCGTTGAAATCGGAGTTCGGGTGCTCCCAAAATTAATTTTTGAAGTTTCTAACTAACTTTTACCTCGAGATTCGTGCCCGATGAAGCTAATTTTGTGATGCCGTATCAATTATGATTACTATAATTAGAATATATTTTCATAAGTTTTTGATTAATAACTTACAGAGGTGTTATTTTACAATGCTAATTATAATTATGATAATTAATTAATAATCTAATCCTCCTAGGGATGGTAGCTTTTCCTCTTCAGTTTGACGGCTGGTTCGTGCGGGGTAGAGCTTCCCTCCTCGGCTGGTTCGCGCGGGGTAGTGCTTCGAACGAGTCGCTTGCCTGTCTAGGGTTTGGTTTTCCTCTTCATTTATTCGTTGCCGTTCTGCTTCGCTTGAAGTAGATTTATGAAAGAGTCGAAGCTTCTCCGCCTACTCCGACGAAGTTGTTCCTGTCAGTTCATAAGACGCGCCGGCAGCTCGCCGTGAAGGTAACGATATTTCTCCCCTTTCGCGCGCTTCTTCGGTCGGATTTACGAAATCTGGGATTTAGGGAAAAAATAGCGAAAACTCCTTGAAGTAGATATTAGACTTACCGTGAGATTTAACTTTGTATTTTTCAGCGTTTGGAAGGATTTAGCTCAAATCTTTCCTAAATCTTGCCAGTCTTCCAGCATAGGATTCAAGTGTGGTCGAATTGCTGTAGCAAGAACATTTGCAGCTATAAACGTCAGTGGTGACACTGAACCTCCATGCTTAGCTTCATTTCTAGCTCTCTAAGAATAATAGATTGCTGTACAATAAATCCTAGCAGTGTTAGGACTCCTCCTTGATAACTTCTCCAGCTCTATGACATATTCATTTAACGACTGGAATACATGAATTTGGAATCCCCAGTAAGTACTTCATGCAATTTCTTACAGTTAACAAAAATATGTTGAATAGTTTCAATTGCCTGGTAGTCTCTACGACATAAATTTCCTTCCTGTAACCTCCTGTACACAAGCCAGTCATTCATGGGTATAGCATTGCTACCCGTTCTCCACCAAAAGCAAATCTACCCTTGGCTTCAAATTCAGTCTCCTCAACAACTTCATATTTCCACACACCTCAGTATTGATCTAAATAGAATCTTCATTAGCAAAAAGATGTAATTGTTTTCCCAGATTTCTAATACATTAGCTCTAGTTCATCTTCTGGCAAATCAGGATACACATGAAGTTGCTGAATAAGCTTAACCAAATGGTCTCCAAAGTACTGATGCAGCTCTGCCACATTCCATTGGCCGTCGTCCTTCTTCAAAAGCTGCTCCACCTTCAATCCTTGTAATATCTAGAAATTAGCACACGATGGCCATCTGTCCAGATATCTGTCCAATATCCATACGCCACTCAAAACATTCACCTTCTCCTCATTTGACGGTATCCGCCTAATCAGAGGGTGAACAAATTTTGCTCCTTCCACAAGAATTTGCCAAGTTGATGAAGCTCCCCTCTTCACTTCTCCATTCCACACATCCTTCCCATATTTGGCTATCAAGTTTCTATTCAGCAATGTATATGGATTTAAATGTGCTTCTTGATCTTCAAGTTGATTATATTCTATCAAATTTAGTGTGAAAGTGCTCTGCACAATTGATCTTAAAATACAAATTATGATTGGAAAAGCTAGAGTAACTAGTTATATATTGGGTAAAGAGTAGATGACATCATATTGCATCTGTCTGAAATTTATTGCAACTCAAATTGTTCTCTTTTAAAAAAAAATGTCTCGAGTTTGATTAGAAAAATAGCAATTTAGCCAAACAAGATTTCGTGCTTTAAATTTTATTTCGTTGCATATATTGTTTATATGTGTGGAAGCTTGTTGGGATAGGGCTAATAATGATGATGATGATGATATGTGTGGAAGCTTACAAATTTCTTTTCCTTATTGAATCTAGCTAATTTTGATTTCACTTTAGCCATTCTTTTTGTTTGTGGGTTCAAAGATGACAGTGATGTTGAAGAAGCTTCAGCAAAAGTATGCAAGGGTTAAAGATGAGATGGTGCGATGGGATGAACTTCAATCTCAATTGCTTTCACAATTTGGAAATGGGGCTTCCATTATTAATAGGCTACAGGTAGCTTTCTGCTTTAAGCATGGCATTCTATTGTCTTTTTGGCCTTACCGTAGTATAATATTTCTTTCATTTCTTAGCTCTAATATATCTTTTCGCTATTATTTTCTTAAGAAACGCTAATTAGATTAGCTTTTTTCCCTTATTTTTTATTTATAATTACATTTTATTGGTTTAATTACTTTTTAATCATGTTTCTTTTTAAAATTTTGTCTTATATTTTCTTCATACCAAGAAGATAAAATTTGTTTAATTTTCCTTTGAATGTTTGTCTTTCTTTCTGTTATTATTTATTCTCTATTAGATAGGTTGTTGTATGGCCGTTAGAGACAACTAAGTTACATGGCAGTAAGAGACAACATAGCTTAGAATTGCTTAGACTTGCTTTTATGCTTTTATTTTTTATTTTTAGGGCTATTCTTTGACATGATTATTGTAACATATTGATGATATGACCTTTTGGTAAAGGATATGAAAAGCTTAGGGTACTTTGAATATTATGATTTTTATTAGAATCAAGCCAACACCGCATTTAAATAAATAAATAAAAAACTTCTGTTTTCATTTAAACACTATTGTGACCATACTACTATGTTATTAGCAATGAAAGATTGACACATCGTTTTCATGTTGATTTTATTTCATTATGGATTTTCTTTCCTCATGTCCTGTTGATTAGAATTGTTGGCGAAACTACAATTTGTTATGGTTTTACTGTATAAATTTTGTTCATCACATAGTTAATTTTTCTCGTACATGGAGGAATTCTGATATTATCATATATATTTTATTGATAGGTGCTTAACGTGGATAAGAATTATGATGCCCTAGAAGTTCTGCCTGGAATTAAAGAGACTCTTCTTGGTAAACAGATTGAAACATTGGAAATGATATTTATATCCTTGACAGAGCTGATGTGAGTTTTCTCTGTTGTATCAACATTTGGTTTTGTATTATTCCCTATAGGAAGAAAGAGAAACAACATGATAATTTTCCTAAGGAAATTGAAATGAATACCTAACTTTTTTTGCATTTTATCTGGAACACAGGAAGGAGTTTCATAGGATTGTTCTATCCTTAGATAAAATTGCAAGAGATGCTAACCAATTATTAAGAGAAGCAACTCCATACCAGATGCAACTATGTGTTGGCATTCAACCAAGTCTTCAACAATGCTTGGATGGTCTTAATACTTTTCATAAGATGCATAAATCAGAGTAAGGATGAGTTTATCCCTCTACTGAAAGATTGAAACTTTTAATATTGATGTCTTTCACATTTTCTGGTTTTGTTTATTTTCTCAAACTTAAGTATTGGTGTTTATTTTTAATTCAATAGTTTTTCTGTGTTCTCCAATATCAAATTGTTTTAGTGATGTAGAACGGAGGGGGTCGGCCAAAAGAGGGGAAAAGGGGAGGCGTCCATATACGTTAAATGTGTTCACATATGGTGAATGTGTCCGCAAATGATGAATGTGTCCACATACGATGAATGTGGACTTAAGGAATTTCCAAACTTGAATTATTAAGATAAGGAAAAGGGAATTATGACAGGTCTTTAATTAAATTCAAATTGGGAGAATTAAAGAAAGCCTCCTAATATAATTCATCCTATTTTAAGAAAGAATTTCAAATTCAAATTAATTTAAATTTAAATTTAAAAACTTTCCAAACTTAAGATGCATCGAGTAAGGAATGCCTTCAATAATCAATTTGAAAAGTGGAGGGAAAGAAGAAATAGGAAGGGTGGTAGGGCCGGCGGCTAGCATGATTATGGGTGATTGATATGAGGGGTTAAAGGTGGCTATATTTAGAATCTTAAAATAGGAAAGTGGATTTAAATCAACTTCTATTTAAAATTCAAAATATTGAAGGCATTTAGGAAGAGGATCTAAGTAGGATCTTCAATTAATTTTAGATTGATTGATTGAGATATCTTTCCAAGCATAACCCAACAATTTAGGAAATGAATTTTAGGCTTTTAGGAGAATTCGAATTTGAATTCAGACTTTCAAAATTAATACTAGGCTAATTTAGGAAGAGGAATTAACTAGGATCTTCAATTAAATTTTTGATTGGTTGATTGTGATATCTTTCTAAACATAACCCAAAAATTTAGGAAAGGAATTCAAGGCTTTTAGAAGAATTTGAATTTGAATTTAGATTTCCAAAATTAACGCTAGGCTAGTTTAGGAAATAGTTGGAGGATCAATTCGAAAATTTGGAGAAAGGAAAGTGGAGGGAAGGGGTCATGAAGGTTTCGGCCATGGACAAAGATGGGCAGTGACTATGAGGAGGAGAGGGAGGGGTTGTGGAGAATCGACCAAGGTGTAGTATGGGGGTGATGGCTCGGCTAGGATTGGATGTGAGGAGGTAGAGCTTAGTCGAGGCTAGGAGGAGAAGGGAGAGGGTCGGTTGGAGCTTTGGGAGGAGATGACAGTGGCGGCGAACTCAATGGAGGGTGGAGGCGGAGATAACCTGTGAGCCCAAACGCTTCCTACGGCTGACTGGTCTTGCTTTGTCCTTACCTAGGGACTTCACATAAGCTCTCACAAGAACTATCAAGACTCTCAAACACCAAGACACAAAGTACAGGAATTTTCATTCATAGTAATCATTCTCCTCCCAAGGGGGAGGTGAGGCCTATAAATAGAAAAATACAATAAAACATCAAATGAAAAAAGTGCCATTTGGGGTCACATAAACCTACTCCCTCAAGTGAGGGTAAAAACGGAAAAAAAATCACATAATAAATCAAATATAAATAAATGCTCAGAAATAGAGTAATCCGATCGTAGCCGTAGATTTCTGACCCTTCCTCTGATAAACTTTCCACGGCCAGATGTCCTCATCAGATTGTTACCCACATCAACATAATTTTTTTCGGAGAGAGTTATAAACTTGGTCTCACCATACCAGTGTGTCATAATTTCAGCAAATCACAGTCTTTTCATACAGAAATTGTAGAACAAACAAGATGAGTGGAGCAGAGCACTGCTCAATAGTAACCAATATTGCACCTTGAGTTATCACCCTCAACTATTTTTGTTGAACCATTGAAACTGAAACAACAACCAATATTATGCATGATACTGGGAAAAAAGGGAAAAGTATAGAAGTTCTATTTGATAGAATTAAGTTGCTGATGTCAAGTATTACCTTAATTTTTAAAAGAGCAATGAGCTTCCATTGGAAAAAAGGTATTTGAAAGTTAAAAACCACAAATTCCTTGTGTCATGTTAAATATTTTATTGTCACATTGTTGGTTTCATGTTGCATCTCTATAACACATCAGTTTTCTTGAATATTTTTGATAGGAAACACTTGTAGATCTCAAGTATTTTCTATCAATATTCGGAAAACAACAAGAATTCTTCTAAAAAAGCGGCACAAAATCACAAAATAGTAGATAATTTGTATTATTTGATAAAAGGGAAACATAAAATAACAAGATACAATTGATCCTCTATTCAAGAGGAGGATCGATCTCTCCCAAATCTCTAGAAGCCGCTAGAGCCCAAAGGAAAACCTAAATCTAAGTATCTCAAATTTCAGCCAAATTCAAGATGCCCTAACCCTAGGAAAGCAAAGTATTTAATGCATACAAATCAAAAGGAAATTCCTAAACAGCCCCTACATTCAAATTTCACTCCCAAATCCCTCAAAAATCCTTCCTAAAATGCTCCGTTAGCCCCTGCAGTGCATGCGGCTAGAGGAGGCGGCAGAGACGTCTTCCTCGTTCGCTCTTGGTCCGGTCTCACGTGGACCGGTCTAACAATACTCCCCTCCCAAAGTTCCACCTTGTCCTTAAGGTGGAGATATACTCGTGTTCCTGTGGAGGTGGCCATCCTTGAGGTGGCTGAAAAACTTTACCAAATTGCTGAATTAAGGGCTGCACTGAAAGAGAAACATCCCATCCCTTCTCCATCCTGATCACATCCAGCTTGTGTAGTCCCACCAGAAAATCTTCCTCCACCTCTTATACACTTCTAATCATGGTCTTAGGTGATACCATGACTTTGAATAGCCTTGCATCTCCCGTTATAACCACCTTTCTCCCATCCACTCTTAATTCCATCGTGAGTGCTCCCCAATTGTCCTTTGTTTCCCCCAAGGTTTGCAACAACTTCATCTCCAGGATGACATCAGTACTTCCTAACTCTAGTGGGAGAAAATTCTCCCTTACTTGAATCCCCTGGATGGTCAACACCACTCATCTACAAATCCCCTGGCCTTTCTCCACGTTCCCTGTACCCATCATCACCCCATAATAATCGGTGTCCATCAATTTCACTCCCAGTTGATTGACGACCTGAGTGAAAATTTTGCCCCACTGTCAATCAAAACTACTACCTTCATGCTTGCTATTTCCTCCTTCACCTTCATCATATGATTCAAAGTGAATCATACTACTGAATTCAGGGAAACCTCCACCATCTAGATGCAACTTGTCATCCATCTCTCGCTTTCCTCCCTCAGTTTCCTTGTTATCACAGACAGTGAGAACCTAAAGAGTTCGATCCCTACACATGTGCCCTAGAGTATACTTCTCGTCACACCGAAAACATAATCCCTTTGCCCCTTCTCCTGCATCTCCTTCTCTGTTAGCCTCTTGAAATTTTCCCCACTCCCTCCTCCTACTGGCTTCTCCCTGGTGGTCTCATTAATGTTGCCTGATGCAGGCCCCTTGGGTGCTAGAAGAGTGGTCGTCGTCCTGTAAGGGCCTCCTGAGCTGCTGCTCCTGACTCCTTTCTCTAGATTTTTCTGATTTTCAACCATTTGTGCTAACTTCATGGCCTCCCCTAAGTCCCGGAGCATCAGAATTTTCACTACCGCTTTGATTTCTGCCTTTAGCCCCTTCATGAAGTTTCCCTCAAGTATAATATCTGATAATCGCTTCATCCAACTAGCAAGGTACTCAAACCGCTCCTGATAATCCACTACTGATCCCTCCTGCACTAAAGCAAAAAATTTCTCATAGAAATCTCCTCCCCGTCGGTTTGGAAATGTTCTATTAAGCAGTCCTTGAATTCTCCCTAGCTCCGGATGGCCCTCATTTGATCTCTCCACTAATACCATAATAGCGCATTTCCTTCCAGGCATAAGTCTGCTGCTGTTAATTTCTCATCATCTATCAATCCATTGATGGCAAAGTACATTTCCACCTTATAAATCCACCCATAAGCATCATCCCCTTCGAATATGGGCATCTTCAGTTTTCTCACATTATGATCTCCACCATTTCCCCTTATTCCTCCTTTGCTTCCCCTCTCCCAAGTGCTCGACCCACCTCACGTCTCCCGGTCTTCCCTTGCCTTGCCATAGCCCAAACCCCCTACGAATTCCCTTATTCTTCATTCAAAATTAGCACCTCAGCGACCATAATATCCCTCGCGGCCATCCCAATCAGCACCCCTTTGCTCCGCCCCTCCATACCCATGCCTTTCCCCATACCTACCTCCTCTATCCTCCCTCTGGAAAGGCTCCAGATAGGGTTTCAGTCTTTCTCTCTCCATGATTTCCGCCTCATCTTCCTCCCTACAAATTTCAGAATTCGTGTTTTTTCCTTCCTCCCCTTTTGCCACGGAAGCCACCGTTTGGCTGTGGATTTCCAACATTTTCTTTATCATGTCCCGGAGATCGGCTATTTGTCCTTTCATGGAGGAAATCCTTTCCTCCACCGTTGTCTTGATTTGGTTCATCTCCCTTTCAAGCCTTTCTTCTAGCGCATCAACTTTCTTGGCTACCATCTCGATCCGAAATTTTGTAAATCCAAAAATTCTGGATTTAGATTACAAAAGCAGCAACTTCCTCCCTTCCTAACCAAAAATCATCAACTGAAATTTACCAAAATCACCCGACGAATGGTCCCAAGACTTTCGCTGATACCAATTTGATAGGAAACACTTGTAGATATCAAGTATTTCCTATCAATTTTCGGAAAATGGCGAGAATTCTCCTCAAAAAGCCGCACAAAATCACAAAAACAGTAGATAATTTGTATTATTTGATAAAAGGGAAATGAAAAATAACAAGATACAATTTATCCTCTATTCGAGAGGAGGATCGATCTCTCCCAAATCTCTAGACATCATTAGAGCCCAAAGGAAAACCTAAATCTAAGAGATCTCAAATTTTAGCCAAATTGAAGATGCCCTAATCCTAGGAAAACAAAGTATTTAATGCATACAAATCAAAAGGAAATCCCTAAATAGTCCATATATTCAAATTTCCCTCCCAAATCCCTCAAAAATCCTTCCTAAAATGCTCTGTTAGCCCCTGCGGTGCTTGCAGCTAGAGCAGGAGGCGGAGACGTCTGCCTCGTTCTCGCCTGGGCCGGTCCCGCGTGGACCGGCTGGATCGATCTAACAATTTTCGAAAAGTCTATTGTATGCTAGAGCACAATACAAATTTTAGAGTTCTTTTTCATTTTGAACAAAGAGTGCTATATGGAGTTCTGAAGGTGAAATATGCAAAATCTTTATTCTATAGTTGTTGCTGCAATACCAACTTTCAAAATTTTTTGGTCTCCTGTTTTTTATTTAGGCCAGTTAGCATTAATGAGCAGTTTTTTTTTTTTTTTTTTTCAGATTCCTCCTTAAATCTTCAATTCTTTCCTCATTGATGTTGAAATACTTTAAATGCAGGTCAGTCAAACTCGCATCTTATTCATCAATGAAATTTTTTATTCATTACGATGTTATTGAATATGTTCAGGCATGGAATTGATACATGATAATTGAATATTGATTTTCACTTGATTCTTTCAGTGGGAAAACAAGTATATTTTGTATTAAAAAGAGAACTAGTACGATTACGTTGATCTTTATTGAGTTGTTGTGAATTCCAATCATATGTGTACCGAAGGGAGCAAGAAAATAAAACAAAAATTCTTAATAATGAGGAAATATAATGGGCATAAATTATATATCTATATTGTATTAATTAGGGCCTTTGATAATGTCATAATGAATCATAAGCTCATCAAAATGAGTCATATAGTTTGTTTGACATTCATTCTTGCATAAAAGTGGTAATTCAGTCTTAAGTTGATCATAATAGTGCGGGTATAGATTTTTTGCTCGAGGGTCTCCATCTCATCCCAAGAATTGATAGTAGTTAGTCACTCATGGTTTATTTTTTCTATGGCCAATGAATTTCGTATGAGCAAATATGAGTTTGCTTTCTTCTGACATGTTCATATAGTCAAAACATTGGTCCATGTTAGTCAGCAAGACAAGGTAGACTTTTTGGTAAAGTCGATCGTCAGAAGGGGGTTGATTGATCGTCGCTATTTTGGTAATGTTCTATTCTTAGTCTTGATTTTTTGGATGGCATATTAATGATCCACTTGAAATGCTGACTCCTCATCATGGTAATTGATCTAGAGCAAAGATGCAAGTTTTTCAACCCCTCCAAAAAACAACCTTAAAAAAATTTAAAATTTCTCTCCATAAATGGCCGCGTCTCCTTCAAGTTTAGGTTGTGATGCTTCTATCCATGCCAAATCTTGGCCACAAACCTCTCTCTTGGAGTAAGGCTTAAAGGAAAGAGTTATATAAATAAAGTATTAATGGAAGAAAATTTAAATTTTAAATTAAAGAATAATTGAATTTGTCCACTCTTCTATTTCTTGCATCAAGAAAAAAATTTGATTGGAGCTGCATTACCCTTTTCTCTCTTGGATTAAGTCATAAATTATGGAGGAGTTACATAACCCTTTTCTCTCTTGGATTAAGTCATAAATTATGGAGATACATGACTCTTTTTTCTCTTGGAGTTACACCAATAAAGTATTAATGGAAATATTTCAACTTTCAAGATGAGAGATGTTATTTATGTTATCGTTCTCTCTTACTTGAAGTAAGAGAAATTATTGAGGGTTTACACCAATAAAACATTAATTGAAATATTTCTAATTTTGAAATGGTGCATGCCAATGCATGTCAAATTCGTGCATTGGAGGAAGGACGTGGTGGTTTTTGGTCTAGGAGGGATAATATTTGTATTTTATCTTTAGTCATGAAAGAAAAATACAATTTTCTTTCCTTTATTACATTTTCTTTTCTAGTGACTTTGGCAGATAAAGTCATTAAAACGAGTACACTTTTTAGATATCTCGGGTCTATTGTTCAAAAAGTGATAGTAAAATAGATGGGGATATTATTAGTAGAATTCAAGTTGGATGGTTGAAGAGAAGGAATGCATCGAGCCTGTTGTGTAATAGAAAAAGTACCCCTCGAATTTAAGGGAAAATTCTATAAGATGGTGGTGAGATTTGCAATGCATTATGGTGTAGAATGTTGGCCATTAAAAGAGAAGCATAAAATTATGTGAAGTGTTGTAGATATGAGGATGTTTAGGTGGATGAGTTGCTTTACTCTTAGAGACAAAATGCAAAACAAGTATGTACGTGAAAAGGTTGTAGTAGCTCTAGCGACAATTAAGATTAGAGAGAGTGACTTTAAATGGTTTGGTCATATAAAATGTCAACTTTTCGTTAACCCAGTTAAGAGAGTAAATGTATTAGATCTAACCTATGTTAAGAAAGGTAGAGGTAGACTTAAAAAGATTTGGTTATAAAATATTAGAAATAACATTTTTTAATTAGATTTAAATGAGAATTTGACTGTTAATAGGATACAATGGACAAAATATTAATGTAGCCGACCCCACATAGTGGGATAAATGCTTGGTATTGCTGTTGTTGTTATTGTTGTATTCCATTTTCTTTTCCATTATTATTGGTTTGTATCCTCTATCCCCACCACTTAACTCCCCACATGTTTAGGCTTGGATTTCACTCTTTAGTCCACATGACAAAGATCCATTACTAACATTTCTTCATTCACCACCATTTTTCATCCCTTATCAATAACATTTACTACATGCCATGGAATTCCACCTACATTGTTTCCTAAAGATCAACCCATGCGACTTGGTCGATGATATGGTGCTTCATTCATTTCGTGGTAATCATAATAGTCGTCTGAACACGATGATGACAAGGCTTTGAAGGAGGCAACCAAGGGTTATGCCAATAGGGTGGCCTTTGATGTTTCGGTGGGAGATTAGGTTTATGATTTGTATGTTTTCATATTTAACACTAAACTCATGAGAAGTTAGTTGGACTATAAGAGGGTTAGATCCTCTAATTGCTCTCGCAAATGAGTGATATCCATCCTTCCAAGTGCAATTTCAAGCTTGATATGGATATATACTTTTAGTAGCCAACTTGAAAATATCAAGACAACTAGATTCAAAGAAGAATTTTTGTGAGTGCTTTCAAATTTAAAAAGTCTAAATGACAAAATTATAAAAATTGGTAATCTAAAAAGTTGTATAACACATCAAGTTTATCAAAATTACTAATATGTAAAAATAGATAAAAATATTAAAGATGTGCCCAAAATACAAAGAACTTTCATAAAAAATGTATAAATTTAATGTGGACATTTTTCTTTTGAATGATATGCAAATATAATAAAACTGAAAGCACATATATATGAGTAATGATTCATCGAAGCAGGGATCTAGAGTTTCTTACTTGGTTTTTATAATGGGACAGTAAGTTAATGACAATAGACATGACGATATAATCTAGTGCAAAAAATACAAACATATAACAAGTTTACAAAAAGTTTTTTTTTTGGCGCTGGTGTCAAATATGCTGGTGGATGAAAATTGTTTGATCAATACATAATGGAATTTATTGTAGGGCGGATGAGATTCTAACTAATATTAGTTGAAAAGAGTTCTAAAATCTTCGCTTAAGTTCCTTGGGAAAGTTACTTGAGCTGAAATAAATATTCTATCAGTGGATTTACATAGTAACTATTGATTCTACTAAGGATAAATTATGATAATGATTGAGATTATGCTAACAAAACTAAGACCTCTAACAATGCAATAGTAAGATAGATAAAAATTGGTCACTAGTAGAAGAAAATTGGTAGAAGTTGATGATTATGGTGGTTAGAGTGAGAATAATTGATCTTGACCTTTACAAATGGTACTTCATCATGTGATACACTTTGGTATAAAAAACAGCCAACGAACCCCAATAAATCTAACAAACAGTAGATTTTTATTGATAACAAGAAAATAAGAACAAACAAGATACATTGATCCTCTTTCAACAGGAGGATCTTCTCTCCCAAACCGTAGATGCCGTTAGGATCTCTATCAAAAATGTAGACAACAAGACTCCAAACAAAATTCTGCATTCAAAATATAACATAAACCCTACTACTTATAGCAAACAATAAACAACAAATATCAAAACAGCCCTCAAATCAGCCCCCAAATATGTCCTCTTTAATTAGGAAACATTTCCTAATTAATCCTCTCCAAATCAGCCCTCAAATCAGCCTCTAAATCTGTCCTCTTTAATTATGAGGCATCTCCTAATCAACCCTATTCAAATTTGCCCCTAAATCTATTTTCTTTCATTAGGAAATATTTTCTAATTAATCCTCTCCAAATTGGCCACCTTTCTTAATATATTTTCCTCTCCAATTTGAATTTCAATTATGAAATATGATCTCTTCCTTAATTCTTCTTCTTACATAATGAGTTAATGTTTTACTAGGTACCACAACAGGAGTCGAAATCTGTCCAGGTTCAATCCGCCCAAGGGCTGCCGATGCATCAATACTTCGCCCCCCCCTCAAATAAAAAGTACCACATTGTCTTCAAGGAGAAATGAAGGGAACTGTTGTTGAATAATCTGGTAAGACTCCCACGTGGACTCATGCTCCGATAGGCCTTTCCACCTAATCAACACTTCCTTGCTTCTATGTACTCCCTGTTACACTTCTTTGACCTCCAAGGGTTTCAATAACAACTCCATGTAGTCCGTCAAGGTTGGGGGAAGTGAAGAAGACGGAATATTCTCTCCTATCACCTGTCACAATTGGGACACATGAAACACTAGGTGGATGGCTAATGGCGGTGGTAGCTGTAGGCGATATGCCACTATAATACCCAAAATTTTAATGAATTTAAGCATGATTTTTTTTTTTCAAACATCAGCCCATTTCAAAATCATTTTCATTAAATCTTATTTTAAATTTGAAGCATGTTGATATATAGAGAAATACATCTAAATTACAAACCATCTATATGCATTTAATAGTATAAACTGTTTAGTATTTAATAGACAGTAAACAATAATTGAAAAGGTTAATTAAGCTTTATACTATAGTATTTCATTTACATAAGAATAATTTAATACAATGCATTACTGTAGCATTCTACTTACATAAACATGCATTGTCGGATGGTTTTGAATGCTGGGATGAGCTGAACCAGTGTAGTGGGTAAAGCATTAAGTTATTAAAATATTAGTTTATATAATTAAGGAAAGCACTAGCCAGTTTCTTCATTCCTCCCATTCGAATGGCTGCTGCTTGCAGATAACTGCAAACCGTAAGCAGAGAGGGAGCGGATGTTGCTGGCTGGAGTTGATGTGGCTGCTATGGGGGAAAATTTCAGCAAACTAAGATAAGGGAAATTAGGTAGGTGCTGTAGTTATTGGATGAAATTATTATTTAGCTGAAATTAGGTAGGGCTACTGATGCTTTTTGCTAAAAAAAGGGAAATGAAGTAAACAATTGCTGCTATATGATGAAATCAGTGAAAAACTTAAAATATACAGAAATCTTTGTATGCATAAATCAATCAGGAAGGAAAATAAAAGGAAAGTGAGGGAAAGAGAAGTGTGGGTTGAATGAAGAAGAGTGTAATTGAAATAATATTTGAAAGCATGTATAAATGGAAAAAAATTATGTTTTAGGTGGTGTACAAAATGAAAAGAAATCGGGATACTTTAGGTGAACCAGTTTACCCGACTGTCCTGAAAAATGAGGTGAGATACAAAAAGTATGATGGCCTCAATTCCAATTTCATTATGTCTTTACTTTGTTGGCTCCTCAAGTATTATTGAAATGATATATTTTATGAATGTTATGAAATGTGAAATGTATTATGAAAATGAAATGTGAAATGTATTAGAAAGGTGAGATAAGTTATATATGGGGGATAGGCCTGCAGAAGTAAAGACGAAAGACCTAACGAAGTATGCCTACACTCTCGAAATTTTAATGTTAGGAATTCAGACTCAACTTTGAATGAGGAGCAGCTTCAATTCTAAAAGTTGAAAATGCGGATCCAACCTTAAGTCAGAATACATGGATAGTTATAAAATCAAAGATAAATGGAGGAACATGATGACTTCAGATGAGTTTCAGAATTGTAGTATTCAATTAAAGAATGCCCCACTCTCTCTCCATTACCCATAATAATGAGAAAAGCAACTCAGCTCCCCCAATCTTCATTCCTACCCTCACACTTCCATTGGCCACTATCATGTTGAATTTTAGCATGGTTTAAGAACATTTGATATGATACATTGAGCAGCTAAAACTATTAGATTAAAGTGTAATCTTCAACAATTTCATTTTTTTACAGCAAAGTGATAGGATATACTTGAGTTCGCAAGTAATCCAAGAGGAAATACTTGAATTCACAAGCAACCCTAGCAATAATTGGTCAAAACAGTGGAAATAACACGAAATCTGGGTGAAATCAACCTAAAAAAGATAGATTGCAATAGTGGAATCAAAACAAAACAAACACCAAAGCAAGATATAATGGATCCTCAATTCGAGAGGAGGATCGTTTTCTCCCAATCTCTAGACGATGAGTCTAAAGCCCAAGACGCCAAGGAACTCTAAGAGAATAACTCAAAACATGCATGCCCTAATCCTAGCCTCCTCCCTTCTTTTAATACACATCTTCTTAATAAAAACTTATAATAGATTTCCTAAAATAAACATTAATTCAAATAGTTTCTCTAAGCCCTTCCCTCTCTCTCCTTGCCGCCCTAGGGGGGCCCATATGCTTGGGTGGCAAATAAAGGAGGCGGGTTAGCCAGCCTCCTATAGGTCTGAACCGGCCCCTTGTGAGCCGGTTTGGGCGGTTCTAGACGAACGGTAACACAAAGCAGAGGTGCAAGGCACTTTTTTTACTATTGGACCTTTGGTTCTAGTGATTTGCATCTGATGTTTGATCAATTAACAGATGCAAAGCTTTGTTTTTGTCAGTGCTGATGATGTAGCTACTCTTCGGCAACTCCTTGTCGACCAACCCAACATCCCCAAAGATGAAGGTACTTACAGATCTTTCCATTTTCTTTGTTTTTGCTTGAATAACATTGTAGTTCAAAATAAACTGTGTTCGGGATACTAAAGTGTGTTCATCTCCCTGATCTTTTTTACTAAATCTTATCATTTGTATTGCAGTTCAAACAATTTTTGACATAATACTACCAAAGGTAGCTGATGATGGTCTCACAGGTAGGTGATATTTGGCTTATTTTTAAGCTTTGTTTTGCAAATTTAAGCTTTGTTTGGGATAGTTTTATGCCATTATTTTTTTCTTATTTTTAACTTTACAAAACAGTAAGAAAACAGTCTCAAACAAGGCCTTAGATTTAAGGGGTAGATTTAAAGGTTATGTGGATAGAAATGTATATGCATGAATATTTATTTGTTTGTCTTTATTAATATTATAAAAGGAGTTTATGATTATTTTAATATGAAATATTGGCCTTTCATTTAATCTTTTAGTAAGAAATTCTAATATTTTAAAAGTAGCATGCGTATATAAAATATACAAAGAGTTTTGAGAATATCAATGGTTAATCTGATTTTTAATTGGGACCATTAGATAATTTAGTTATAATCTTTCATTTAATGTTGCATTATATCTATAATTTTTTTTTGGATTCTATATATGCTCAAAGGTTCATAATGAAACAATAATGATAAGTACTTTTAAGTGCTTTAGAAAAAAAATATCTATTAATTATCCAACTTATCTAAGAACCTATGATGCTTATAATCATAAATTAATTCATTATAACATTATATAATAATTGATAAATATATTAATTTTGTCAATTTGTATATTTATTATTTTTCATATTTAGGAAGAAAAATTTGCAGCAATATCATCAACCTTTAAATTAATAGAAAAAATGATATCAAATTTTAAAGGAATTGCAAAAATTTTAATAATTCCAAATCAAATTGTATAGCCATAATTATTCTAGCACTATTTAAAATTAAAATGATAAAATATCTCTATCAAAGCTCAAAATTTGAAGAATTAAGAATCACTTTCTCACATAAAAATTGATAAAAACTTATAATTAATGATTAAGATTTTATTTGGATACCGAGCGGTATCAAGCCACAGTGTCGAGCGGAGGTGATGTGACGCATTTTAGTTGGTCTCTGGATGGCCTTTAGCGTTCACACAGAATAATTTGCCAGAATGTGCGGATTCTACCGAGAAATTATTTTGTGAGGACGCAGAACGTAGTTCATCTTCCAGAGATTAACCAGAATGTGTCACGTCAGCATCAGTGAGCACGGTATCGAGCGTGGTACCAATAACTAGGTACCGAGCCGCAGTATCAAGCGAGGGTGATGTGACGCATTCTGGTTGGTCTCTAAAAGGTGAATTGTGTTTGACATCCGCACAGAATAATTTGCAAAAGGGAGAAATTATTCTGTGTAGAGGCTGAATGTAATTCACTGTCCGCAGACCAAGCAGAAAGCAGACCTCAACAATATCGAGCACCCAGCGGTACCGAACACGGTGTAACACAGTACAGAGCAACCTTCCTTGCTTTCTCCAAAGACCAAAGAGATAGAATTCCTCTCCTCTGCTCGCTGATGCATTCTATTTGCCACTGAATCTCATCCTTCTCTCTAAGGACAGCAAGCAGCTGCCTTTCCGCGGCCTCGAGTTTGGAAGCTGCCGAATCTGCCTTCTTCATCAAGACGGCCATCTTCACGTTTTCATGGGCGGCGTCTTCAGTGAGGACAGAGGAGAGGACGAGCTCGAAAATGTCGCGCTCGATGCTGTCGAGGATGTGGTGGTCGGCCGCCAATGAATCTAGCTGAAAGAGGAGTTGCTGTATGTGTTTTCGGCGCTCCGCTACTTCTTTCACGAGTTGCTTAGTAAGGTTTTCTGTTTATCGATAGTTTTAGTTCGGGAACTTCCGGCTGCCCCTGGGGCGGAGACTTTCTTCTTCTTTCCCAAGAGGAGAGGAGTCAAAGAGCGCTTAAAAGGCTTTAATCTGCTTCTTCTACGGTGAAGAGAATAGTTGGGTTAAGTGATTTGAACTGTGAGGATCGATGCCGTTTATTTATAGAGCTTCGCTGCTAAATCAGTATTCTAACCGTGCGAGGAGGAGCGGACGGCTGTGAGACCGATTATTCCGGGAGGGTTTAGGCTCCTCCCTTCAAAAAAAAAAAAAAAATCTAATTTTTTTATTATTCTTATCCTCTTTAACCGTATCGAACTTCATCTAGGCCATCTTCGACTTCTCTCAGCTTTCGGTGGCAGTATTTACAGATCAAGCGCCGGAAAATAGAACTCCCGCATTGACGTTATCAGCTTACTCCTCCGGCATTAGCGTTCCTTCTTGTATCGGCCTGGCAGCCTCTCCTGGCTTTTCTTCCGCTCCACTTCGTCCGCATTGACACGGTAGGAGCAGTTTAATCTTTAAAATTAATCAAATATAAAATTTAAAAATGAGCAAATTCGTGAAATAAAATAACTCATTCAGAAAATGCCAAAAGAAATGGGATATTCTGAAATGCTCTATTTTTTTTTTTGGGACATTTAGGTCATTTAAGGCAAACTCACACACACAACGCATACACATAGACTCAAACCCTGGACCCCTCTTAGTTGGAAGCCTAAGCTCTCAACCAATAGGCCAAGGAGAGTTGTGTGAAATGCTCTATTTAATGAAATAATGCTAGAGAGAGAGAGAAATGACAAAAATTAAAGAGTCGAGAGAGAGGTGGAAGAGAAAGATATAGGATGAGAGAGAGATGGAAGAGGAAGATAAGGGGGAGAGAGAGAGAGAGCATGAGAGGGAAAAAGGGCGGGAGAGATTTTTTTTTTTTTGGAGATTTACCTACATACCATCTTATATTATTCTATTTACATATTTAACACTTAAAACTTTAATAGTACATACATATCACTCATAGTTCATTTTCATATCAAATATGAGTGGTAGAAATGAAATATATGAGTGTAGAAGAAATTAAAAGTATATTGATATTAAAATAAATATAGGGTGGTATGCATGTAATTTTAAAATTTGAGTGTTAGATATGTAAATAAGATGATAAAGTATATTATTAAAATTTTCCTTTTTCTTTTGAAATTTTAAGAAAAAAGTTAAAAAAATTTATAAAATAAAAAAAAATATTATAAATATATAATAAAAAATAAATATAAATTATTTTAAAATTTTTAAAGATTTAAATTAAATTAAAATTCAAAGAAAAAAATATTAAAAAATACTAAATATTGAAAATTTAAATTATTATGCATATTTTAAAATTGGAATTTTATTATGTATATTTATATTTTTAAAGCATGAAAATAAATTCAATTTTGATATTTATTATATATTTATAACTATTTTCTTTTTATTTTATAAAATTTTATTTAAACTTTGCTTTAAATTTATAAAAAGAAAAAAACAAATGACATTTCTCTCCCACCCTCTTTCCCTCTCTCTCATGCCTCTCTCTCTCTTCCTAAGGAGAATGCGCCAAAAGTTTTGGCTAATTCTTTGATTTTAGTCATTTTCCTCTCTCTAGCTCTATTTTTATCTCTTGTTTGAGTTGAATGCACCAGATCAAATTGCGTATTCAGGCCCCATTTCTTTTGATGTGTTATGAATGTGCTATTTTATTTGACGAATTTGCTTCTTTTTAAATTTTATATTAAATATACTATTTTTACTAATTTTAAAGATTAAACTTCTCCTTTATAAAATAAACCCACGGTATTATAGTTTCTTCCTTATATCCGGTTTATTTGGAACCGTTGGTGGAACTATGATTTGTTATGGTTTTAGTGTATAAATATCTTTGCATCACATACTTATTATAGTTTTTTTTTTTAATTTGTCCTTTTGCATTATGGGGAACTAACAAATGTTATTATGCATTTATTTTGATGATATATGCTTAACGAGGATAATAATTATGACGTTCAGAAAATATGAGAAGGAAGAGGGTGTAATGAGGAGAAATTATTACGTGCGGAGTTCAGACGGGGAGAATTGTCCGGATTTGTTTCTTATTTGTAAATACTAAGTAAAGACTCAATTGTGAGTATTTATTGAGTATTTGATGATTTGCTGCATGTTTACCGAGTATTTATAAATACGTAGCAATCCAGATAGTTCTCCCGTCCGGACTCCTCATAAAATAATTTCTCCTCAACTTTCAGTGTTTGTTGTAAGCAAGAAAACTTTGTGAACGAAGCTATATCTTTGAAAATGTAACTGACTATGTGTGTGTTGGGGATGTGGAATCAGCTTATCAGGAAACTCTGTTTCTGGTGAAGATGTTAGCCTGCTTGAACTTATGAGCAGAACAGGGCCTGTTCTAGAAAATATAAGTCCTGAGTTAGCCACTGAAGTTCTTGGCATTCTGACTTAGAAGTTTTTTTTTTTTGTATTAACGAGGAAGCCTTTGCCATGTATGCTATTATTTTGTCTGTTTTATTTGAAGTTTTTTCATTGATGAAGTATTCTGCATTATTTTCAGTCACAGCAATTATATTTTTCAAAACTCAAGGAAAATATGACACTTTTGAGTTCAAGAAACACTTCTAAATCTTAGGTACAAAGGGACTTTAAGGTGTACATGATATGGATAGACATCAGAACATCTAACATAAGTCTAACCACATTACATATATGAGGTTAATTTTATGTGCATCAACATTCCCTAATTTGCATCAACATGTGAATTCAGATCCAGAAAGAAGGCCTAATTAGCTAATACTCTGCTTAAGCATCCAAAGGTGCTAAAAAAATCTAAGTTCTAATTGTCGGGGAAGAAAAACACTTAAGCGAACATAAAAAAGGAAGAGAAAATTTAGCAAAAAGAAAGAATATCAAGATTTAATATGGATAAACCCAAAATTAGAAAAAAACATCATGTAGCGCCAAAGTATCCACTATGAAAATATGGAGAAATTTGTACACATCTCTTTCTCTTTTACTCTCTCATACCATCTCCTTATCTCTTTCCACTCCTGCTCCATTTTATACATGAACTAACAAAGAAAAACTACTCAAAACCACTAAGGGACTCAAACCTTTATAGAAAACTGTCCTGACTACCTTGCAGTGCTTGGTTTGGAGTGTTGCAACGCTCCATTCTCTGTCCCCAATTTGTCTGACAGCACTACATCACCAGGTCTAGAGAACTGCAGTGCTTCACTCTTTGTCTTCTGCTTGATTCATAACGTTGCGGTGCTCCACTCTCTGTTTGCCTCCAACCAGACAATAAAGTGTCGTAGCGCTTGGGCACAAAATGCTACAGCGTTGTACAGTTGTACAGAAAAAAAAAAAATTTTCCATTGGTTCAAAGCACCTGAACCCAAATAGAGGGAGGACCCTTTGCAAATCCCGATAACCCAGTGAGCTCGACTGATGGAATTGAGGCTCGAGCCTGCAGTATAACTCGATTAATCGATACAATCAAATTCCA